ACACCACAAATGACATAAGGTGTGTTCAGGTTAATTTGTAGGTATGGAAAAGAGTCTGACGTAGCAGAACACCATGACGACCCTGCATTGTAACCAAGCCTGCCATTGTATGGTGGAGTACTGGTATTGTAGTTGGATGACGATGACATTTTGTTGTTTGGTATCTTAGCAACACTTGCAACACCAACAGTGTAGGATTTGCAACTAAAAACTTTAAAATTGATAAAACAGGGTTTTAGGTTTTATACACAGCATAAATATCTGAAAGCTCTTGAACTCYCAATGTCAACGCGTCTTTTATAAAGACTTTTTCGTCAACATTCGATCTAAAGATGATTAGATATGATATATAGACTAGATAGACTRRATTACCATCATATTCAATGCCATAAAGCTCAACTCGTAGASMYTTGTAATTCTTCCACTTYGTTGGTGTAAATCTTATCAGCTTTGCAAAGACAGGAGCATTTAGAACATTCTTGACAGCCGTGTTCCTATCTGTGTTACCAATAAATGCCTGTGGAACAAAACAATCATGATTGACTAGTCTGCAGATTTGATGACACCGATGTCAAGAACATTCGGCAGGAAAGCAAAGACCTCTACCAGCGTAGTGAGGGGGGGAGTGGTTGTGTCGCCTTCCCCAAACGATTTTTATTTTATTGTGTGCGACACGCTCTCACACGCGCGCGACCCCCAAAAAACTTCGATTCTCGAGTAAACCTCCATGAACCACGTACATGTAAAGCTAATTGAAAACTAGTGAACAATAAAGACTCCAGTACGAATTATACTAAATGTTTGACAGAAATGCTGAGACAACAACCACATACATACGGTGATAGATAATTACCTGTACAGCGTTATTGTCCGGATACCAAGACCATGTTGTACCATCTACTGATGTAGATATATTGTATTCTGTTGTCCATTCTTTTGCAACTAGCAATTTTTCGTTACCCTTAGTAGCCACAGCACAGATAACAAACAATTTACCCCAGTCTATCTGTAGATAGTCATCAGCCTTGTTATTCGTCCGTGGTTCCCAACAACGATCAGAAGTAAACCTAGCTTTAACGGCTCCATATTCAGCCCTCAGCTCCGTGCTCGCTGTAAAACTACTGTCTGGTATGATATTAGGGTCTGCAAGACCAACCACAGCCGACGGACAATCTTGAAAACCTTGTAGAAATTCATGGAAATTACCACAAAATCATCAAAAAAGAGATAATTGAAAACCTATGGCTTTGTGTTAATTRTTCCRTTGTCATGRGGAGTAACAAGTACACAGGTATGATTAGTATTGTTGCATTGATCCCTGATCCCAAAATTTCGTATCAAATTCAGTTTGATCCTTGATCCTTTTCACCACTCGGAACCGATTGAAAGACCATTAAAGCTTGGTGATCAGTCAATTGCAGACTGTGGTATGAGAGCTGACAATGCCGTTGATTTGAATGTGTTGTAGTGA